TCTAATAAAATACATTTTAAATTTAATTTTTTCACAATTCAAGATATTCAGCCAATACAATTTGAATTTCATCAATTTCATCATATTCAGGCAATTCAGCTAATTTCAATATTACCAAACGTTTTTTTATATCACTTCAGTTCAGTCAATTCGGTTATTTTGAGTGTTATGTTATAACTTACTTTATTTATATGAAACAATATATACTTGAATTATATTTTCAGGATAGAATTGCCAATTTCATGTACTACGTATTTTTTATTGTTTAGATAATAACTATTTTGAACATTGTATTTTGTTTGTACTTGATTTTTTGTATGAAAGACATTTAAGTGTATGTTTGGAGTTTGAGGTGAGGGGAGGTTACAGAGAAATTATAATTAAAATTGTTTAAAATGTAAAATATTTGAATTTACATTCAATTTGAGTTCAACTAAAATTGTCTTTTATTTTGTGATCCTTCAAAACCTCTCAATTTGAGAAAATTGAAAATTTGATCATTTGAAGTGTTTTGGAGAGTTACAAGAATATCAAAAACTATCACTTCCAATTTATTTGTAACCTGAAGGTTACTTCCTAAATCAAAACGAAAATAGATAAAGTCCATAAAGAAATTTATTTAAATTTGGAGGTTACTTCCCAAATCAAAACAAAAGTAGATCACACAGTTAAAATCAAAGTGAGACACATAAAATGGGACGGAAGTAGTACTTATCAAAGTGTCACTACCTGGGCATGCCCCAGGTGTTACACTAGTCCATACTAAATCCTCTATGAAATTTGGCGAATTCCTGCCAAAGATCTCTTCCATTTTTTTTGTAGTGAAATTCACATAAAATAATCTTTTGGACCAGACTCAAAAAACACGATCAAACTAGAAAATTTCAATTCCATGAAATATCTTTAAAGGTGTATTGTACATAGAAATAATGATAATTTTTAAAAGTTCATAGATTTTAAAAGTTTATGTGTATTGATTATAAATTCTTAGTCTACAAAAGTTTGTGTATTCAATTTCAATCATTCTTACAAAATTATGTTGCAGTGTTTTAAGAGATGAACACATATATCCATTCTCTAATATTTTTTCTTCCTCTTCCAAAAGACTTCAACATACTTTCGCCTTCGGCTGGTCACAGGTAGACATGGATACAGTTCCACAATAGGCCAACTGGTCCTAGACCGATACCAGGGCGGGAGTACGAGGATGGTTCCGATATGAGATATTGCTGATGCACACGACTATATATATTTAATGAAAATACTCCAATACTACTAAAGACGTGTGCTTTTCAATGCAAAGGAGGAAGTGTTAGGAAATCACATGTCTTTTAGAAATTTTTTACCTTAAAATTTAAGCCATTTTTAAAATTTGGGTGGGTCATGGCCTAGGTTGGCCCATGTTAGGAATATTTTATGGTGTCCAATCTAATTAAATATCTTTGTATTTGTGTAGTTATTAATTAAACGTGTAATACAGACCACAAATGTGTATCAGCCCGGGGGCTTCCTTGTAACCCGTAAGTTAGCTAACTTCTCCTATAAAAGGAGGCTAACTTACGAGAACCCTAACTAACGATCGAGGCTTTCAGAGAACAGAGGCGAGATACAGAGAGAATAGGGTTTCCGCTGCTCTCCTTCTCCAGGGAGAGCAGCGGGGTTTCATACGGTATACCAGATTTGGTTTTTCATCTCATAATCTTCTATCTGCTTCTTCATAACTGCTATGGTTGTTTGATTGTTAAGTTCTGGATTTATCAATAGGTATCAGAGCCGAGACGTGAAACAGGTTGAATGTATCTGAAATTTTCTTGGATCTAACGAAGAATGCTCTGCTTTTCTTCTCTTTTTCTTCAAAGTCGAGAGTAAGTGAGTGAGTTAGTGAGTGAGAGTAATCATTATGAGAGTTAGGAAGCAGAAGGCTCAAGTGAGAAAAAAAAAATAATCAATGATGAGTCTGCTACCTCAACTGCCTATTATCCATTGAACATTTACTCCTAGCCACTCAAATACTCTGGACAATTCCCAAATAGGTTCAGGACTGATTTAATCAGATCCCGGGTAGAAGTCACTGCATCTTGTCCAACAGTGCACGTTGAACCCTACCCAAGACCACTCACCTGTCTCCCAACAGACAGGTGTTTAATCATACTTCACGGGGAACCGCATCTCTCATTACTGTCTCCTTCCGAGGCAAGTAATACTGACTACAGTGGCCTTAGCCCCATGCCACTGAACTTTCATTGATCACGTCGTGTCTAGTTACTCACTCCCAAATGTTTTGAAATTTTCTAGGACACAGATGCACTTTTAGAGTCAGTTGCATGTCTACATGACCCGAGAGAACTTCCATAGGGCTCATCTATTACAGATGTAGACCAATAATTGGAAGGAAGTCCTGCTGTTGCAACATAAGAATCACATAAGAATCTACATGACCCGAGAGAACTTCCATAGGGCTCATCTTTCACAAGGAAGTGACATTTCTCCCAACTTAAGGCTAAGTGGGTTTCCTTGCAACGGATAAGTACTTTTTCCAGGTTTTCAAGACATTTTTCAAAGGATTCCCCAAAAATAGAGAAATCATCCATGAATACCTCCATGAAGTGGCCAATGTATTTCTCAAATATGGCAATCATGCACCTCATGAAAGTGGCAGGGGCATTACAGAGACCAAAAGACATCCTACGAAAAGCAAAGGTCCCAAAAGGGCATGTGAATGTAGTTTTGTCTTGGTCTTCCGGGTTGACATGGATTTGGAAGTATCCACTCATGCCATCCAGGAAACAATAATGATTATGGCCTGCCAACCTCTCTATTAATTGATCGATGAAGGGGAGGGGAAAATGGTCCTTCCGGGTGGCTTCATTCAATTTGCGCTAATCAATTACCATTCGCCACCCGGTAACAGTTCGACTGGGAAGAAGGTCACCCTTTTCATTTTTTGTGACAGTCATTCCCCCCTTTTTGGGGACAACATGAATCGGGCTTACCCATTGGCTATCAAAGATGGGGTAAATGATACCCGCATCCAGCAATTTGACGATTTCATCACGCACTACTTCCATCATGTTTGGGTTCAAACGTCGTTGTGGTTGGACGACAGGTTTAAACCCTTCCTCGATCTTGATGGTGTGGGTACAAAAGGTTGGACTTATTCCATTGATGTCCTCAAGTTTCCAAGCAATTGCTTTCTGGTGTGTCTTAAGGACTCCAAGTAATTTACCCCTTTGTTCCTCACTTAAGTGTGCGGCGATGATGACAGGGCATTTTCCTTCGTCATCCAAGAATGCGTATTCTAAATGGTCAGGGAGTTTCTTTAGTTCGTGGGGGCGGTCATTTCTTAAGTTTTGTTCATTTTTCTCCCCCCCCCCCCCCCCCCCCCGAACTCAGACAATACTTCGTGAGAAGCTTGCTCAATTATCGCGTCCTCACAACTCTCACATGCATCACTCATGTCACCGTTTGCTTCTTTTAACAGACATGCTTTATCACTTACATGTCCATTCTCTTCCCCAAATAGATACCCTTCAATTGATTCGAAAGTATCAAGAAAATGACATCCTTGAAATGAATCTGTGGGGTGTTTCATAACATCTGAGAGTCGGAAGGTGCATAAATCATCTCCAACTCTTAGAGTTAATGAGCCATCAGTGACATCAATCAAGGTCCTGGCGGTAGCCAGAAAGGGCCTTCCCAGAATAAGAGGTGTTTCCCTATCCTCTTCCATGTCAACCTTGACCTAGACGTCTTCAACAATTCCTTTCGGATATTTGACTGAGTGATCAGCCAATTGAAGACACATCCTGGTGGGTTTCATTTCCCCAAGTCCTAGCTTCTCGACTATAGAGGAAGGCATCAGGTTGATACTCGCCCCTAAGTCAGCTAGAGCATTATTGATATTGAAATTGTCAATTGAACAAGGGATGGTGAAGCTACCTGGATCCTTTAGCGTTTCACGTATTGACCTTAGAACCACCGCTGAGCATTCTGCATTTAGGTCCACGACTGAGAGCTCCTGCAGCTGCCTCTTGTTTGTCAGCAAGTCCTTGAAGAACTTGACATATTTTGGCATCTCCGCCAAGGCATCCATCAGCGGCAGGTTGACGTGAAATTATTTGAGTAGGTCCAGGAATTTGTTGTATTTCCTACTATCGTCATCATTTCTAACCAGTGAAGGAAACAGGAGAGAAGGTTTGACAATGGTGACCTTTGTGTTAGGGCGTGTTGGTTCCATGCTCTTCTCAGTTGGAGCATCAGTATGTTTCTCAGGTGTCATACTAGGTGTCTCCTCCTTTTCACTGTTCTTCTGCTTGTCCTCGGTTGGTTGTCTCCCACTTCGGAGAGTGATAGCTTGCACATGTTCACATGGATTAGGTTCTGTAGTGCTAGGCATGTTGCCAGGCTGACGACCGGGAACATTATTCTGATTAATTTGCATCATCAGAGATTTGATCTGATTGTCAGTGCTAGCTCTGTATTTTGCCTTCTCCTCCCGTGTCCTTGCTAGTTCAGCTACCAGCAAGCCTATCTCCGACGTTTGGGCCACCTCTGTTTGTCGTATATGTGGAGGCACATATACCTGATTATTCTGGTTTGATTGGTTTAGTGCCCCTCCCTGGTTCCGCCCTTGGAAGTTGTGCCCTTGATTGTTGTGGTTGTTGTTGTTGTTGTTCTGGTTACCTTGGTAACTGCCGCGAGGGTGAGCATTGTTGTAATCCCCCTGCCATTGGTTACCTTGGTAATTTCTCCCTTGGTAATTTTGAGGAGGGTAATTTGTGTTACCCCCCCTGTTGCCTTTATTTGCCCATGGCCCTTCTTGTTTCGTTCAGCCATATTCCAGCATGTTTACCTCCCTGTTATTACTTAGATTACAATCATCAACTAATTGACATGAATTGGTCAAATGTGGACCAAAACATATCTCATATGAGAGTACAAGTTCAGTTGAATTAGAAACAGGTGAATAAACATTAAATTGTGATGACTGTGGAGCAGAGTTCGAGTTCCCGAAGTATCAGGATGGTTGCTGATTCGGGGCAGCGCCAATGTGGTTGACCTGGTTGATGTGATTGTTATCGCTTTTAAGATTTTTCACTTCCACCACCAACCCTTCAATCTTTGCGGTTAAGGCCGTGAGTTGGTCAACTTCAAGATAGCCTGGTTTTGTGGCCGCCAGAGTTCTTTCATCGTACCAGTATCTTGCGTTGGAAGTGACCTTCTCCACCAGAGCTTCATTAGCGTCGGGCGCCTTATCAAGGAATGATCCCACCTGAGAAGAGAAGTCAAGTTCTTTTTTGCTTCCAACTTGAAGCCCATTATAGAAATGGAACATCAAGCTCTTAGGGTCCATCAGTGTGAGTGGACACTTGTTTCTCATATCCTTGAAGCGCTCCCATGCTTCATTTAATGATTCCGTCGGGAATTGCCTAAAATTTTGGATTGCTGTTTTAATTTTAGCAACCGCCGATGGAGGAAAGTACTCTTGCATGAACGCCTGGTGTAGTGCTGCCCATGTTGTGAAATGACCCGTTGGAAAGCTGTCCAACCATAAAGAGGCCCTATCTCGTAGTGAGAAAGGAAATAAGGTCAACTTCACGGCGTTAGGAGTCACTCCGTTGAAGCAGGATGTTTGGCATGCTCGGTTGAACCACAACATATGGGCCCTAGGATCATCTTGCTTGGACACGCCAAATTGATGATTAGACATCATGTTGATAATGGCGGGTTTAATCTCGAAGTTGGCTGCCTCGATTGTTGGTGCGCTTATGCTATCATCCTCGATGAAGCTTGGCATGAGGTTTTGCAGCACCGTCTTTTGATCCGTCATGATTGGTTTCTTGTGGATTAAAAGATTTTTCCACAAAGTTCGTTCAGGTTCAGGATTAAGTTCAAGTAGACCTTCCACTCCTTTAGAGCGAGTGTGCATTCATTTATCCTGAAATCGTTATACAAGTGTCGCAAGTGAGAAAAAGTCTCCCTAACTAGAATTCACCTATGCTAGAACTAGATCAAGAAATTACCGTGCCATTCCCTGGTAACGGCACCATTTGATAACCGCTTACGCGGCGTTGTAGTAAAACGGAGTCTAACCTTTCGGGTTTTCCCCGAGTATCGTGTCTCTTGAGGAATGGTGGAGGACTTTTCTTAACTTAGTCTTAGTCACGGGCTATCGCTAATCGTTGGAAGCTTTTTCAAACGAAAGAGGGTGATTGTGTTCTAAACTAGGCCAATTTGCAAAATTATAACTAGGAACAATTTTCAACTAAAAATGAAGGCTTAAGATCAAATATTCCAAAGTTTAATGAAAAGATTTAGGCAAATAAGGGCAATGAATTGAGTAATTAGAAATGGATATATTCTTGGGCCTAGTAATTAGGGGAATTAAAACTAAAATTGGACTAATAATTTCTTTTCTCATAGACAAGAATAGAAATTACTTTCGTTCATTAATTTATCCTATTTCTAGGTTTCATTAATGTATTCAAAAATGGTTGGCTTGAATTAAATTCTAATCTTATAGACAAGACTGAAATAATTCTCCAATATTTTAATTAATAAAAATAACCAAATTCATTAACTAATTAAACTCATTATATAAGTAATTTGAATTTATTTCTCATAGACAAGATGTAAATCCTTTTCATTAAAATTTCCTATTTCTAGGCCTTATTAATGTACTTGAATATGGTTGGCTCAAATTATTTTCTAATCTCATAGACAAGTTAGAATTAATTTTCCAAAATTTAATTAATGGAAATGGCTAACAATTATTAATTACTATTTCATCAATTTGAATTACTAGTCCAATTAGTTAATTTTAACCCCTAATTTTCGGCTAACAAGTCAATCCATATTCCTTTATTCAATTTCATGCCCAAAACAAATTTAGCTACTAAACATTATTTTTGCATTCAACAATATAGTAAATAAATTAAACATTAACAAGGAATTGAGCATGTATTATATCAAAAATTAAACAAAATTTTACTTCTGGCAAAATAAACTTGTATGAACTAAAATATAACTATCTGAAATTTTTCACGAATTATTAGACCTAAAATCCAATTTTAACAACTAATTGATGATTTTCCCAATTTTAACTATAAAATGCAAAAGACAACTAAAAATACTTTAAATTTGTGATAAATTTTATAATGACTACTGGGGTGATATTACAGTGCAACAAACTGGAATTAGGACCGTAGGTATTTTTTTCTATTTTTAACTAATTAATTTAATTTATGCAATAATGATAACTAATTACCTAAATTAATTAAAAATTACTTGTGCTTCGTGAAAATTAAACTTCTTCAGATAAACAACAACCTCGATGCTAGTAAACAACTATATAATTAATTGGAATGAATTCAACATCAACAACTATTTTATTTAATTTTTGGAAAAAAATGCGAAATACTTGATAAATATTCAGGAAAAATTCGAAGAACAGATCGAGAAAACAAAGCACATATTCTGATTCTACTGGTTGAGAAGATGAAAATACATATAAAGAACTTACAATTTCAAGCTAAAATGAAGAAGATATGAAGATTTGAAGTTTCTCTCTCTTTCACCCCCTTGGAGCTGCGGAAATGGAAGAAGAAGAGAGGCTATTCGAACTGATTTAGGGTTAGAAGAGGTGTGTTTGAGTTCAGCAAAAATCTGGCTATTTATAGGTGAAATTTGCCCGTAGGCGGTCTGAAGGGCGGCCGTCTTTCGCCTGGATCTGGCCGCCTGCCGTCTTTTCGACAGCAGCGCAACGTGCCTCACGTTGCATCGCCGCAAGCGGTCACGAAGGGTGGCCGCCCGACATCTTTTCACACCGATGGTCGTTGGCCTTGTCGTCTTGTGCCGTAGGCGGTCACCGACGGCGGCCGCCCTTCGGGGGGTGTCGGCAGCCTTCGGTCTTTTCCGGATCCGGTCAAAGTCCAAAAAGTTGACTTTCCAAAAATAGCATAGGCGGCCTGGAGGGCAGTCAGATCTGGCCGCCTAGTTGACCTCCTTCGGGCTATTTTGACCGTCTTGTTCTTTATTTTCTGCTCTTCAACTTTCACTTCTGGACCACTTTGAAATTCTGCTTCCTTCTTTAGATATGGACTTATTTGTTACTCAAATTGACTCATTTTGTGCTCAATTGGCCCGAAATTTCACCAAACATATTATAACTGTAGTTTTCACCTGAATTCATGAAACGTGAACCAAAATATCCAAAAAGTGCCTTGTTTTTCTATTTTCTATACAAAAATCGCTTAATTTTGATAAGAAAAATAAGAACAAAAATGGACTTATCAAAGGCATTTATACTTTGCTTAGTCTCATGTGTACTTTAATTTGTAATGGCAGTACAGTTTTACTATAAACAAAATATGTAATAGTGAATTGTCAATGGGAGAAAAAGAAATTCATGTGATGTTGTTATGAAATGCTAATTTGTTGGTTTGTTTGTGGTTCATGAAGAAAGCAAATGCGATATATATGTTATTGTGTTGCCTCTAAATGAGAATATGTTGACTGAAATGGAATTTGTTGCATAAATTTGAAAGATATATGTATTCTATTAATGTAAGTAATCTGTAATGGAAGTAAGATGATTAATGAAGTAATTACAAACTTATTTAGAACAAAGAAAAGGATTAAAGGCATTTATACTTTGCTTAGTCTCATGTGTACTTTAATTTGTAATGGGAGTACAGTGTTAGTATAAGCAAAATATGTAATAGTGAATTGTCAATGGGAGAATAAGAATGTCATGTGATGTTGTTATGAAATGCTAATGTGTTTGTTTGTTTGTGGTTCATGAAGAAAGCGAATGCCATATATATGTTATTGTGTTGCCTCTAAATGAGAATATGTTGACTCAAATGGAATTTGTTGCATAAATTTGAAAGATATGTGTATTCTATTAATGTAAGTAATCTGTAATGGCAGTAAGATGATTAATGACGTAATTAGAAACTGATTTACAACAAAGAAAAGGATTAAAGGCATTTATACTTTGCTTAGTCTCATGTGTACTTTAATTTGTAATGGCAGTACAGTTTTACTATAAGTAAAATATGTAATAGTGAATTGTCAATGAGAGAATAAGAAATTCATGTGATGTTGTTATGAAATGCTAATTTGTTGGTTTGTTTGTGGTTCACGAAGAAAGCAACACTAGTGCAAAAAAGCCTTTTTACATAACCTTATCTACATGTGTTATTTTAAAACCCATGTAGAATACTAACACGAGGTCATTTTTATAATTTTATAAAGTTTTGTAGATGGGTTGTTGTTATAACCCATGTTAAAAACCAAATCGGGGTACTTTTTAAAATTTTAGAAAATATTCTAAATCAGTTATGTTTAGAACCGATGTGAAAAGAAAAACGGGGTACTTTTCAGAAGTAATGAAACTTTATTTTAGATCGGTTAAAACCGATGCGGAAGCAAAAAAAGGATCTTATTCCAGATCGGTGGTACCCGATCTGGATTAGTTAAAACAAATGAGCCTGATTTTAACCCGATTTCATCTCTGCGATTTTAGACCTAGCCATTTCAGACCTATCGGACGCAAGACAGACCAACCGAAGAAGGAAGAGTAGCGGACGGGCGGCTGGCGTTCAAGCAGACGGCGGACGGCGGACAGGCGTTCCAATGAACGGCGGACAGGCGTTCCAACGAGCAGCGGGCAGGTCATCATCTTCATCCAACGATTTTAATCCTTGTATCTGCTATGTTTGTAATTGGAATCTAGTTCTAATCTCACTTTCGACCTTCGATTTGAGCTTGGAATGATGATTTGGGACCAGAAACGCAACAAATGAAGTTTTCGTACTGTTCATGTTGTTTGTAATTTGAGGTCAATTCTTTGAATTTGGGGAGTTTCTCTGGTTTTTGAGACTTGTGTGGGACTCGCCGTGCCAGGACGAAGCTCGGTGACTTACTCGTTGATGGTGGGGATGGTTTTTAGGTCGTGGACAGAAGTGGGAGTCACCTGCGACTGAGTCTTGTTGACGGACCTAACTACTGCTACATCGACGAATAGCTTACAGTGTGTTCTGGCTTGGACTTCACCTGCAATTGTTTTAGACTGCAGTTTATGCTACTATGGCGACAAATAAACAAGGGTCTCTAAAAATACGCTCTTCATCCAGATTCTCTGTTCTGGAAGAGTTAGATGATGATTTCCCTACTTTGAGCAATGTAAACTTCATGAAACTGTCAGAGAAGCCTCCGACTGATGATGCTGCTGTGAAGGCAAAAACTAATGGACTCTCAAAGTCTAAAGCTAATGGTGCAGGAAGAGCCTTGATGCAGGGGATTGATTCTTTGCTTAAGCCGTCTGGGGAGCAAGTGACTTAGCTAACAATTTCTGAAAGCAACCCTGGAGTGAAAGAGCTAACTCCAGGACCTGGACAACCTGCTCAAATGCCTACTGTCAAGCAGGTTACTGCACGGGCAGAAACTTTGAGTAAGGTTTCTCCCAATAACCAAGGGACTGCATCACCTGCTATTGATTTGCCTAGCAAACCTGTTGCACCTGCTGCAACACTACTGGTTACGCAGGTTGTGACTACTGCTGGAGCTCAACCAAATAATGCTGCAGGGGGGACTTCACCTCTTGGAGCTGTTGAGCCAGTATTTGATACTCAACCAACTGCTGCAGAAAAAAAGGATGCAAAGCAGACACCATGGAACTCCTTGTTTAAAGACAACCGTGATCCAAAAAATGGGATTAAGTTGAAATATGTCCCACCGAAAGGTGAAACACTAGATTTTGGAGACCGAGTACTACCCTCGATGGTTGAAATGTGGGGACACTGTCTAGTTGGACACTTCACGGGAAGATTCCTCGGACTTTGGGGACCGATTACTACCCTCGATGGTCGAGGATGTCTCTAGCTACTTTAGGTAACGATTGATTCTTGTGTTTATAAAATTATATATACTATGCTAAAATTATATATACTGTGTATGTATGGGCCAGTGCAAGATGTTAGAATTCTATTTCAGCAGAAGCGGATGTTTGGTTTTGTTACGTTTGTCTATGCGGACACTGTGAAGCTAATCTTAGCCAAAGGAAACCCTTCATTTTGTGTGTGACTCTCGTGTTCTTGTTAAACCCTACAAGGAAATGGGAAAAACCTCCGACAAGAATAGGTACTTGTAAAAAAATCACCTACCGCCTCTAAATTGTAATGTCTGTGTGATTTCTCTCTCACTGGGATTAAAATTGCTTCATTTTATAATTGTAAAACATTAGAAGGCAAAAACTGCACCATCTGGATATGGGAAAGTCATCAACAAGTTTAAGCTCATCCGGTGTTGATTCTAGGGAGCCCCTTGACATTCCATTTGGTAAGCTTTTGCCACTTTCTTGAGGTTTTATAATGCATTTCCTAAGTGTCTTCTCCATCTTTCTTTTATAGGGCCAAGAATGTTTCACAAGTCAAAGGAGGCTATACTTAGGAGACTGTTAGAGCATGAAGCTCATTTGCAGAAAACCATCCACGGGTTTTGGTAGTTTTAGAGAATTACTTAAAATAGCATTTTATTTACTTGAATCTTTTTGTGTTAGGTATCTACACCGCTTGTGCATATCCAGAAATATTGGTCATGTGTATGGATTCATTGATCCACACACCATTCACGGAGTAGGCAATTCTGTAAATGAGGTGCAAACGTAAGTATTATTGATGCGTAAGTATTTTGTACATTCCGTTTTATTTAATTTTTAAATATATATTGTATATCTTAATTACATAAATAATTTATTATTATATATATATTTAATATTATAAATTACATAGTGCAATGGAGGCAAGCCGTAGGCTCAACTCAAGAAAGGGAAGAGTGAAATGGATTATTCCTATGGTAAATACTTACTACTTTACTTTGTATGTTATTTTTACTTTCATTTGTGTAGCACCAAGTCGAATACCGTAATTTCTGATTAGTAATTATGTTCTAATTTTTAGTCTCGGATGCAAGTTGGGAGTTATGAATGTGGTTATTATGTGATGTTGCATATGTTGAATATTGTTTCGGCGGTAATTCTTGAAATGTGGGATGAGGTACGTTATTATTTTATTTACATTCAATAGGTTTGCTCCACATGTAATGTTTTTTAATAACCTTCTTATATAATTTGTAGTGATTCGCCAATCCGGAACCATTCTCATCAGAAGAGATTGATGAAGTACGAACTCGTTGGGCATCATATTTCTTAGAAATGACGCAATCCATCAACGACACATGACGAACGTGTTTGTTTAAGTTTTTGAGTGATAATGAGACTTGTAACTTTATACAATGAGTTATTACTCTAGACTTGTGCAAATATTATTTTATTTTAGTTTATTATTATGTACTAAGTTGTTACTTGAACTTGTTTAATATTTGTGAAAGAATTGAAAAATAGCTTGTGTTATTGTTTTAGTTGGATCAAGTAAACAGGTCAAAATTGTGCTATAATAGTTCATGATACTGTTAATGATGTGATTATAGTATAAACAGAGGTCATATTGCAAATTGTTTTCGTGAAAAATACCGAAAATATTGAAGCTTTTCACATCAGTTGTGAAATAACCGATGTGATTGCTTTTCTCCATGGGTTATAACCGATGTGAAACACACAT